ATACTAGATGACTTGTATGAACTAATACAAGAAGATGGGCACAGGTACGTAAACTAAAACCGGATACCGAGGTAAAAACGGGACTTACAATTATCTCGTGAAATAGTTTCTCATTTCTGCCACCATTACGTCACGTGACGGTGCTCTATGAAAAAACTTCTCAATAGAGTTTCGTAGGTGAACGAACGCGCGCATAAAAATATTAATTTTATTTTGATACCTTTATTTTCAACAGTATTTGAAAGTTTCTATAAAGTTATAGGCAGCACTTAAGTATTCACTTGTCTGGTAACATTTTATATCTACAAACCATAATTTTATATCCAGAAGCCTCCTGCCTTTTATGGTCTGTACCAGTTTTCCCTACTCCAAACACAAGTGTCAGTTATGCAATGTTTCAATTAGGTTTGTAACTAAAAAAGTGAAATAATCGTTGCAGCAAACGATCGAGTAAATTATCCAATAATTACTTCTTTTTTATCTGTCTTTTCTAAGTAGTCTTGTAATTGTAACACTATCCATTTTTTTTATTCATACAACAACTACATTGAAAATATAGAAAATATAATCTGATTATTTTAAATATACAATCTCCGTAACTGTAAAGTAAATTTGTGAGTAAACTAATTCAGGGCAATTTTAAAGGAACTCAACCTTTATATATATAAATTGATTAATTTCGATTTTTTGCTTTAAATTAACTAAAAATTACTTAGATAATAGGCATTAAAATCCAGAAGCAAGGGGAAACCACGTCACATCATAACACAACTATGTAAAATTCTACAGTATGACGTCGTGTAAAATTTCAACTGATGTATTGCCGATTTTTATTGATAACGCAAAAAAAAAAAAAACAATTATCTAAAAACAACTTTTAGTCATGATTTCTTCAATTAATTGGAGCAGCGGAGTAAAATAATCGTATACTATTCTAAAAAAAAAACTTTATAAAATTTGTGTTATTCGCTCATTAAACACACAATCAACCGGCTTTATCACTCCTCATATACCATTTACTGGCGCATTTATTTTAAGGGTATAACATTCGGGTAAATTAAGGCCCCTTGCCTCAGTCCATTCTGTCCGCAACTCACAACGGAGTTAATAGCTCTCACAGAGAGGCATGCAGACCACTCGAAGGCTTCAGTTATTATAGCATTCATTATTAATCATTCAATAATGGTACTTTGTTACTTAGAAACACCGAGCTCTAACTCGTCTACTTCAATTAAGAACCATTCAATCTCTAGTTTTATTTACAAAATGCCATCGGAATGTGTTAAGTGCGTGAACAAAAAACTGTTGTTAATGTTATGTTTGCGTGATCGTGCACACTACATTTTAATATTTTGATGCGTGACTTTGAATTTTTAATTTAAAACCTAAACGTTCTCTTGAACTATTAGGAAATTCTAGAACTGGTGTTATATGAAAATTTGTGACGGTTTGATGACTCAACAATGCGCTTGCGTTCGACGACCTGCCACCACGACGAGGCACATAAACCGTTATCTGAAATATTGCACTTACGCTACGCGCGAGCAATTCATTTTTTGCATACAATTTACGCTGCAAAAGGAGCTATGCGTACACATACAAAATCTTAGTGTATTTTTTTTTGTTACCGGAAATATGAGTGAGACTAAAATGATTCACAGTTTCATTGATTCGTTCGTAATAGTGAGCAGATTTAACTGAGTCACCAGGAAATTATAAAATGACGTCATCAAAAGTAGCTAAGATACAACACAATGTGCTCGAATTATATTAATACTCCGAGGGCTAGCTGCTGACTCATTGTTGACTAAAAATGAAAGTATAAAACTTGAACATACTATGTGACTTAATCCCCAGGACGGACTACTAACATCATTTCAAACGCAAATGGGAAGTTCTGCCCTCGCTCGCCTCAGTCTGTTTGCAAAGCGTAAACTTTTTCACCAGGGGAGTGAATACTCGCTCCATTTGTCTGTAATTTAGAGCTTGATAAAATTCTACAGTGGATTTCATTCTGAGTTTTTCCGTCACCCAGCTTTTACTGGTAACTTTTTGTTTTTATACGTTTAAATAAAAATTAATTCAATTCAATTACGCATTTTTCGCATCGTATACGAAATTGTTCCAATTCATAAGTATCAAGGCAACGTAATATTATGAAATATTTACTTCCATACTGTTTCTTTAGCAGGAAAGTTAGACAGCATGGAGGCAGTACAATAAATTAATGTGGTGTTGGGCTCTCCACCCGACCCAAAGAGCAAAGTTAATATATACGCGAACTTGTAGCCTACTAAACCAAATCAATAACTTAACGATTAAAATTTATATGAACAATTTTCATTTAAATAGAACTCCATATCTATGTTGGAAATTGAAAATTATTACATGCCTGCCTACTTATTAAACGAAAACCAGTGTAAATCAGAAATTCTGATGATTTCATGGACAACATTTGAATAAATAGACGTACGTTCAAAAGGAGGAGAAAATGATAATTTAGCAGTGATGTTAAATTTCGCAATTACGATAAAATCCTACTAGTACTGGAGCCGATACCGACCGAGAACGGAAACGAATAGCGGCGGATTTCCATTTCTCTTCGGGGTTCTCGAGACCCTGTCAGCAATAAATATGTAATGGAGGACCTGGAATCGATTGTTTTACGCAAGAGGGGTGGGTTACTTCGAACAGGTATGACATCAGCAACTTTAGAGTCATTTAAACCAACATGAAGTCACTGCAATTATGGTTAACGGAGCATACATTTTGAAATAAATGTAGACATGTCTACTTTTTTGTGAATTTAGAAACTATATTAAGAGGAAAAAGAAAGATTTTCAATTATTGGTCAAAAACTCATCATATACATAAATAACAATTTGTTCATTGTATTTAATCAATGAGACTAAAAGGCAAACTAAAGAGCGACGGGGGATATCCTCTTTACTAAAGTCTTGAATAAATAATACTTAATTCGAATAGGGCACACATAAGGACGCGCACCCTTCTGCTGTGAGAATAAAATAAGGATACTTTAGAAAATCTATGTAATATTTTAAATTCGCATAATATTAAACTCGACAGTTATTTTATGTTTAATTTAATAGAAAATCGAGTTATGTTTAAAAGTGAAATTACATAAACGAATGAACTCGAAACATCCCCAGGTAATCACCCGCTAAGGGATAAGGTAATCTCTTATGAAAGCATATCACAGTTGACTAATTCGGAGGTAGACTGTAAAAGCAAAAATATTGGGCCACGTGCGGGGCGTAACTATGGCAACGGAGGAAACTACGCCATTTGGCGCCCCCAGCCCCCCACGCGTTAGGTTGTATTTCGGACATCTGCACAAGTAGCTAAGACGCCTATTTATTATATTGTCTATCTCTTGTGTCTGTCTATCCGCAATAATTTAATTGATTAGGCAGTTGTGTCTGCTAGTGTTAAAAGTATATCACATTTTTGAGATCAGTACTTGTAGGTTCTGAATACCAAGTAAAGATTTTTGTTACAAAAGTTGAATATAGACCCTTTCGATACTCTATATTATATACATAGATTCTTTCGATACTCTTGTCCATTTTAAGTTTTTTAAGATATATTTAAAATACAAAATATTGATATGTTTTTTGGGTCACTTTTACAATGTATGTTTGTGCGGAATCCTCATCAAATCAGTGACCCGTAATAACAACTCTATTGCGAAGGGCTACATAATTTTGCCAAGCAATTTTGGATTTGGGTCCGTGAGGGTCTGTTGCCGCAGTTATATCGAGGGGCATTTGACATATTGTTTGGGCGGGAAATGGCGACATTTTAGGATTGACCTCAGATTGCTAAACTTTTATAAAAGAAAGGACTTCAACTATGTTCAATTATAATGAACAACATAGAAAAGAAATTTATATTGTATAATTTCGTCTACAAGCGGAAATCCTGTACGTATGATGAGGATATTGATTGGGTCTCTATTAGATGTCAGAATACAAGACATCAGAACGATAGATCTTTAAACTAATTGATCATTTAATGATAGTCACATTCGCTCAACGTTAAATTCTTCAAAGAAGCCGGCGGGATAGTAACTTATTAGTAATATTCAGTACTGTATGGCATAAACCGATTGAGATTCAGGGTCTTGACGAAGAATCTAACCATATCAAATTAATAACAATTTCTTGTGCGTTTATAATTAAGTCTGAGACGATACGGATAAGATGTTGATATGTATCTGGTTTCAAAGTATTCATTGTTGCATCGTACAATGGGATCATCGCCGTGGCGAAGGACGACCCACCGTCGCATAACGGCTGCATTATACTTGCAGTTTCATCAACAACACCTCACAGATATGTTTTAACTAAAAATAAATCCTATTTATTTAATAAAAGGACACTTTTTAAATCAGTTGAATGAAATCTTGCATTAGACTTTGCAAAAACGCGTTAGAGGCACAAAGTACCGCGATATAAATATTGCAAATAAAAATTCCTAACCATTATTTCTCTTATCGTATTAATTCGCAGCTGTCCCGTTGTGGCAATGCATCTGCCGCATATACTAAAAATATAGAAGCTTATTAGGATTTATTAGATAGCTGCATAGTGTAATCGTAATAATATGTTAGTAATCTAATGAATATATGAAAGAAGAAAATTAAAATTAAAACAACTAAAATAAGGAAGAAAAATGCCTAGAAAGGCGGTTACTTTTTAAAGTTTCTTAACAAGCAGATGTGACTGAGCGCAATGTCACATATTTTATATTACAATGTTATAGATTGTCATATATGAATACGTATTTCCGTAGAAATAAATTTGAATTCAGTTATAAATCTACGAAGAGTTTGCTATTCATGTACGGAATATAAATGACTGTACATAATATAAAGATATACCCGATTGTACAATATATCAAGATTTTTCCATACGTCGTAATGTCTTGATGAAATTGGATGGCGTTGAGCAGTAATTGAAACAATGATCGATATAAATTACATGTGAAATGAGATCAAGGTCTAATAAAAATGTTTACTATTCTTTCGTGTGAACAACTTCGTCATTTAAACAGAAAATCAAATATAAGTAAATATTAAATTTGCTGAAGGTGTTTCCTTTTTGTTGCAGATTACTCGAGAAATATTAACGAACTGGAACACTTTTATAGCCTATCAAAATTAAAAGGTAAAGAATCACTAACTTTCGTCTTAATTTCATTAAAGTAAATTCTGCCATTATCTAACACCGGCTCCACACTGTGGCCCATGATAGGCGAAAACAAGCCATTACCATTGTGTAAACGTAGAGTATATGAGACGTAATTTTATTTATGATACAGTGCGAACGCGTGCTGTTTTGCCTGTAATAGATGCTAAATAGCCTAAAAGAAGACCTACAATTTATATTTATAGAATTACACCAAAATGACGCTCCACAAGGACAATTTGGATTCTTGTTTCGGCGTCCATATAGTTCAGATAGATAATTAACAAATATGGGATGACCGATCGTGTGTACAGCGGCACATTGATGGTTACAATCAAGGTGGCCCATAACGTACTTGCACTTTGTTGGATTTATTCAATAAAAGACGGATCTTAGTAAGTAATAGTACGTTTCGTAAGCAACGTCATGCTTCTAAAAATAACTGTTCCGCAACAAACATGTCCAAGTGCCCGATATCATCCTATTAGGCGTCAAGATTAACTAAACAATAACCATTTCGAAACAACAGAAGTTGATCGTAGCATCGGTCTCTCTAGAGTTATGTAACCAATGAGAATGACATTGACATTATGTTCGTGTGTTGTTTATTCAAGAACGGCATGACGAAAATTTTCCGACAGCTCCAATCTCCGCACAAAAAGTTATCGGGAAAATTCTGGAGAGCAAAAGTGCAGTAAATTAGGGCAGTAAGCCGTGCCCGGTGTGCGGTAAGTGCTACTATTACTGACAATCATACGGCGACCTTGTCGCTCGTTGTCGCTGATCGTGGGGAGGCGCTGATTGTCATCCTCCATTCTAGCATCCGCCTTTTGCACTTCATTACATAACACGGTGTTTATCTTGTCGCGGTGACTAAATTCGCAATCTGCGATCAGATTCGCAGTTGGTCAAGCACTTTGCTCTATAAATGACTACAATACCTATACAAATAGAAAAGGAGTTAATACTTCAAGGAATGACAAGGAAAATGTCCCGTACGTTATCGATTATTTTCAGATTAATTGATACATATTAACATTCCACAGTATATAGCAAATTACTTCCATGATTTATTTAGGCAGCAATAAGATTAATTGTATATTATGCAGTTTCTATTGAATGAATTTACAGTACCTTAAGCAATTGCGTGTATCATGACTGGAAAGGCAATAAAACGTTTCTCACGTTCACTATTTCTCAATGTTTGTTTACTCAGATAATTTCAATGGCTTACTATATGAACCTTTGTGTTAGTGCCATTTGAAAGTAAGATGTTAAAAACTAATGGCCTGCATAGAGTCAATGCACTCAAAATAATTATTATAATTGATGTTTGAAAGTGCTTTGGAATGGTGAAAGTATAGAGGTGACGAATGAGTAGTATTTAAAAAAATATTTTGAAATAGGGAATAAATAAGTCGATAGCTGCACACTTCCATTTGTCGAGGCAAAGATCTCATAAAACGTAGGCGTTAAAACAACTTGTCACCAAACAAATGTTTGTTTAGTCTGAGATGGGCAACGAAGTTGTTTAACTACAATCATTATGTATACACTAAAGACATCATTCTGTATAACATCAAATAAACTTTATTTATGCTGTGATGTGATTATTGACAAAATCAATGTATTTTAAAAGGTTCGATTATATAGCCTACAAAAGAACCGCATCAAACTTTTTTTTAACGATCTGCAATAAGCTAATTGTAATTTTTCATCTCATTTGGCAGTTCTCAGTGCAGATTGCTACTTCTCTAATACAGGTATAGCATCCACGAGCCAGGCAGGTGCGACGATATCGGCTATCAATGCCGCCGATAATAATCCTTGCCGCTTGATTTATAGTCCCACAATAAACGGATCATTGACGCATTACTAACATTAATTAAATAACGGCAAATATGGAATTGTACAATAATAATTATCGTCTTCTACACGTGATTGTGCATTTCAGTCATCATTGGCGACTGATCAGCCCTGCGATTCTGTAACAATCCAGACCCGAATTCGAATTCACTCATGTGTCCGAATTCTCGTCATTTACTATAGAAATCATATTGATTCCATTTTTTGTATAAAAATACTAAACAAAATTGATTGATTAAACATGATATAGATATTTTAATCCTAAATCATTTCGAAACTCACTTCACTTATTTCACGAAACATTATTACCAATTCAAGTTTGAGCGGAAGCAGCTTTTTGACGTGAATTCGGACACCCGAGTGATTTCGAAATCAGGTTTGAAGTTTTACAGAATCGCAGGGCTGAATACTTTGAAGGTATCGATATCGAGTTTAGCTATGCTGCAGTATCCACAATATGGGAAAATTTCATCATAATTAATGAAAAACGGAAATGAAAGCATATCTGTATTGGTGAACTCGTTTATCCTGCGACATGTCCCAACACCGTTACGGTCTGCTATTTTGATGAATGTGATAAACACAGTTCCGCCAGACACGATCATTATTCATTTGTAAATTAAAGGGTACGGAAGTTTTATTGTTATTTTGTGCACTCCATGTTGCAAGAATAAACTACAGAGTAACAGTCCTATAACTTCAATAAATCCAAGGGCTCTATTACGTTAATGGAGCCAAATAGCTACAGTATCTAGGGCATGGATAACCATTGCGTGGCTAACCGATTAATATATTCTCGGTACAGTGGCTTTGCGATACCACTAAGATCTTTCAACGTTTAAATTCAATAAGATAAGATAATACTAGTATTTACGTTACTATATGAAATATAATTATCAGAAATCGAATAAATTTATAGAATTATGATGCCATTGAAACATATTAAGGGTAGATTAGTGAGCAGATCCATCTCCTGGCATAAGATTAAGAATATAAATAAAAGGAAGAATCTGTATTTATACCGTACATACAATGAGTACTGTACGTTTGGTATGGTACATTCAACTAAAAGCCAGAAAACATGTCTAATAAAATACGATAACATAGAAATAGAAACGCAAATGATGATTAACAGTATTCAATTGTATTGAATTGGTTTCATTGGATAAACACTCGCCTAATCGTAATGTCAACTGAGTCTATAAGCTCGAGTTGTCCACAAGTTGTGGTCTCCAACCCGCATCCTATTGTTTTAAAAACTTTTAAGCTGTTCAGAAAAGTTTTTAAATAAAATAATGCATGTTAAATATTCGCATTATTCGTTAGTTTATAATTTAGTTGAAACAACGTATTATTAAATTTAATAATGACTGAAAACACGACTCAAATTTTATTCAAAACACCATGACTCAATTTTCATTATATATTCCAATTAATAAAACCGATTTGTATTAAATATTATGTTCAATTCAAAACTGATTCACAAGCCTGTGGTTGTACTCGATAAATGTGCCGTCAATACTTGGGAACCAACAAGGTTTCTCTAGATATGCATGATTGATGCGCTATGCGCCCGGCGCCACACGGCGACGATACTGCGGTGACTGTACCTACAGTCATTAAAATAGTAGCATTTGTTGGGAATAATCTTCATCTAACATTGTGTGTACAATGCGAGTTTATTCCCACGCTATCAGAAGTTAGTTACGCACCGACGCGTTCAACGTCAACTGCATTTACACAGCAGCGTCATCGGGTAGATATCGACAGGTTCATGAATATGTTAAGCTTTAAAATAGAGTGCCTTTTGTAGTTTTTAGTGTTTTTTTTTAAACTCTATTTTAAAGTTAACATATAAAAAAAGAGAGAATAGAGTTAAAAAAAAAAAAAACATTAAAAACTACAAAAGACGGTTGACAAATTCTAAAAATTAAATGTTTACTTGTCATACTTTTTCTATAAGACGGTTTAATTTTTTTTTAAACAAAAATTTTAATTTATTGTTTTTAGTAACGTATGTAATTTTTCATGTTTTCAAGAAAAAGATCATCATCATACTATGTCATCTAGATATTTTTTCATATAAAAAACTAATCTGATCTCGCTTTTTAAATGACACCATATGTCAAAAACCAGCTTAAATATGAAAAGAATTATCAAAAACGGTATACCCAGTAAAAAGTTCAATCATAATAATAAATTCGCTAAAGGTTTAAACTCTAAATATTGATTTAAACATTTTGCGACTTACTTGTAATGTAAAAACTTATAATTACAGTCACAGTATTTTTTATTTTTTTATTAAAACCTTTTTCTAAGCGACCAACTAAAGAAAGGCCTTTTTATGGTGGTTTGTCAGCAATTTTTTACCGTATCCTTCATTCATTCGATCCAGTATGTTTTGTTCGTTCTACACATACACACTTGACTATAGGTAGAGGAAATGAATTATTTACAGTTATAGGCATCGGGCCACCATAAGCCGTATGATGCCCGAGAGAGTAATTTACCCGGTGCAAAAAATGCATTGTTGATACCGGACACTTACTTGTACCTTTATAGAATACCGTATATTTCCTACCAATATTATAAATGCAAAAATTTGTGAGGATTTGTTTTTGTTATCGACTCTTTCACGCAAAAACTAATTAATGGATTTTAATCAAATTTGGAATATGGATAATTCTAAGCCGGGATTAACATACAGGCTACCTTTTTATCCCACCAAACGGTTCCCCGGGGATAAAAGTGCCATCAAGGAAATATTTAAACCACGCGAGCGAAATCTCTGACGAAGAGCTAGGCTCCAATAAAGATAACTTCTAACGAGCCTTGACTTATAACTATCCAATTACTATGAAAAATGAACACCGATAAATAAGGTTATACAGTTTCGAGGGTGATGACCATATTAGTGGCCTCGATGAACTTTTTGTTCCGTTTAAACAATGATTTTGATTAACGGTAAATACCTTTTTTATTGAGCTACAAAGCACAATTAAGTGACTAACAGATGAAAATCTGAAACGTGACTACCAAACAAGCTGCGACCTGTGACCAAAGTCAAAAACACTTCCGAGGAATAACGTTTCAAACTGAGTGTATAAGTTTAGAGAAAGCAACGGAGATAGTTTCATTAACTATCGAGATGATGCAACGCCTGATAACAAAGCCATTACAAAGATAATTACTATGGCCTGTCACTTGAAACTAAGAAAATTGCAACAATACCTAATCTATAGTATGCGGGTGTATTGCTTACACAAAACTATTATTGTCATAGAAGAGCAAAAGATACGAGTACAAATGAACTAAGTACAAGAAAGAAAGTGTGCCGTAACGGTATCATGTTGTCGTTATTGAAGCAGCAGATAAGAGATGTAGAGGCATGTCATGATCTCGGTACGATTGTATAGAGCGGAAAGTAAAAATAAATAGTCAAATAAAATTCTTTTGGAATTACCGGATAACTCACTAATGTTATTATCTAGTATACATATAGAAAGTTTATATAAAGTTACATGCAAATAGATATAGAAAGATACCGTAGAAGTGATAAAATTAGCACAAAGACCTAGTCCCTTAGAACGCGCTGATGTTAAAAACGCTTTAGAAGGTGTTATAACGTAATACAACTCGACGCACATGATTAAAATATTCAGATAATCCTGTTTCGAGATCATGTAAGCCAAATTTAATATTCAATCACGATGTTCTATACTTCATTACATTAGTAAGCTAAGCTATAATTAGAAGATTCTCTTGGAATACTTAGCAAAACAAATTTCAACAGCTTATACATAGAATTTCAATTATAGAAAGGAGACGTACAAATGGCGGCCTTATCACTAAAAATGATCTCTTGTACTTATATACTCGTACTATTTATATATCTTATAATCTTACTTATTATTTCAAATTTTATATAATTGAGTTATTTGCGAAATTCAGAAATGTGATCATATTAGCGTAATCCAAATATAAAAGTTATGCAAAAATTTTGAAAAAGCTGAAGCTTTTTTTGTTGCATTTCTGTGAGATTATATAAAAAAACACATATCTTTCCATCTCTTATTTTAAAACTTCAATATGACATAAGGTTAAAGTTAAAATTATTGCCATCATTGTAAACATATAGAAATAGGAAAACGGTCTGGAATTATCGATTGCATGCATCGTGTCAGCAATAAGATTAGTGTGCAGGCACTCAATAAGTTGTTTAACAGCTAGGCGGTAATCCTATCACGGATGAATTATTCTTTAATAATAATAACAGAATAATCTTTGACGCAGCATTTTGCACCGATATTTTATTTTTATTTTACAGTTTTCCTATAAATAGATTTTGATTGAAAGTATTGTTATTACTTTATATAAAAACAGTTCTGGAGCTCAAAAGTAAACCATCAGAGCTCAGGAGTGATAAATGAAACTCGAAAGAGAACTAAAAACAATAACAACAGAAGTGTCAAGAGTCTAGACCTGAGATAAGAATACACATTAATCATCTCAATGAAGCTATCCTTAACAGTGAGCTTAGTAATGGTCCTATACATTATGTGCCTCTCACTGCTATGAAGTTTTTCAATAAATTAATAACAAATTGTAAGCTTTATATTTTTTAGTAACAATGAAAATAAGCTGTAACAATTAAAGTTTTGTTTGTTTTACTACCTTACATACGAAATTGATGCTTTCATTTATGACTAAAAGTAAAATTGTCTTGTACTGTTATTAGTTCCATCTAATCTTCATATTTTTTTTTTGTGTTTGTCAACTTGTAACACTTATAAGTTTTTAATTATATTGTTATCGATTAAACATTTTAGCGGTGTTGTAACCATGGATAATGATAATTTACGAAAATAAGTCGAGCCTGCGTGTTTATAAAACATGACCTCGGACATGGCAAACGCCATGTTGATGACTATAAACTTTTATTACCACTACGACAATAACATTACTGTTGTACATAAATACACATACTTTCGGCTCTGACCCAGCATGATGTCATGTTTGGCGGATTGCAAATTAATGTAGGAAGAGACAGCAATATTACCAAGGGCATTATATTGTGTGATACTAAAAATATTTCATTTTAAAATTGTTTGTTTTTTGACAAAACGCGTATTCATTAAATGAAGTAATTAATTATATTTGTCACAGCTATTTGTTGACTTATAGGTGAGACATACACTTGCAATTAAGCAGATGACAAGGGTGTATTCCACTCAGGGAACAAAAGTTAACATTCCTACCACAGGAACAAACAAGTGGAGAAATTCACGATTGCTTCCAGTATATTTGCAACTCCCCTCCTGCAGTGCTAAACAACTAGGTTGGCGTAGCATTGTGTGGCGGCAAAGAATGTCCGGGGTGGCTAAATCGACTCATTAAAGCCTGCCATCGAGTCATTGTCTGTCTAAAGTTTACACACTTGATTCCATAGGGGAGGAGCAGCTTGTGTATTGTGTATAAGTTTGTGCATAATTAATTTGTCAAGGGACAAATTTGGTGATTCTGTGGTAATGGTGAAATTATCTTGATTGGGTGTAATATCGATCATGATACACTACCTTTAATATTTTGTTTCCCACGCTACTGATTCATGCGGTGAAATCAGTTAATCGATTGTATTAGGTGTCGTGCCTATTGGCATACGTTTGTGTTGCGGACTGCGGTTAGCAACGGTGCATGCTCTCTAACTATAGGATTTTATTGGTATACTTTACAGACAACAAAACAGACAAACCAGTATAGGTCACTATTATATACATCAACTATTGAACTGCGGTTTTAATCGAGGATTTTAAGTTGCATTTAATCATAAAACTATTTTTTTAAAAGTCAGTGAACAGCCTATAATGTATTTGGTATAATTAAAAACGATACAATTGAGTTCTTACAAACTTATCTTTGTGTGACCCATCACTGTATTTGTATAACAAAGATGTATTGTTGTGTCATCTTAGACATTAGACATCATCTTAGTAGATACTAATAGTTTATTAGTTCTAATAAAACAATCATTATTCTTTCTATAATTTTTCATTTAATGTGGTCTGTTGTATTTGAGGTGGGTAACCACTATAAGTAACTGAATTGGACATGCACGGTTTATGAGCAATTCTCCCCGCTACTAAAGTAATAAATCATGAGTTTGATCAAATAACAGACGAACGGGGAGTCCGGATTAGAGCTACACCAAATGGTCCATGTCAATCTCCAATTGAACTTATTAAATACAATTCAGATGACATCGGAAGTGCAACTGTTACAGCACTAATGATGAATTATTGTTCACCTTTGCTATCGTATATGACGAGTGTTTTATTATGAAAACTTGATGGATGTATGTCAGTCATCAGCAATGTTATAAATTTATATAATTATATATTAAAATTTAAAAATTTCCGAAATAGTACAAAAACGATCCCAATTCAAGAATATCTAGAATTACACAAAATCGTATCTATACTAATATTATAAAGACGTAAGACTTTATTGTTTCTTTTACTTATTCCGAAACTACTGGACAGATTTTAAAAATTCTTTTACTTTCGGGTAGCTAGTTCATTATACGCGGTTGACATGTGCTATAATTTACGCGGGCGAAGTCACGGGAAAACAGCTAGTTGTTTTATGATTTTTTTATACAACAATTTTACCAATTTAGGAATGTAATAAAAAAGGAAAGACGTTGCTTTTATGTATTGTCAGTAAAATGGGCATCTAGATAAAATTTCGGGGCAGGCGAACAATTTATTACGGTGGGGATAGTTAATGTAAAATATACGATATAGATTAAATACACGATGTTTATACAGGCTCGATATTTCTATTTCTTTTTTCTACAGTTTAGTTTGATTGTTTGAGTTGATCTACCGTATAAAATTATTTAGGTGCGTGCGATTATCTACTATCCCCAGAAAGGTCTGAAGGTCTGAATCTTTAGGTGGAATTGCCTATTTCATCTATGCCTTTTAGCAATAATTGATCAAAAATAATTCTTGAGTAATAAATGCGGATGAACCTACACTTGTAATACATACTTAGGTTAAAATAGAATAAAATCAATCAGGTCAAGTGGAAGTTTTATAGTATAAAAACAGACGCCTATATTATAAATAGAGAATGATAGCACAGATAAACAATAATAAAAATGGAACTTGTATCAAAGCGATAAATAGTCCGAACAATCAGAATTTAAACAGTGTTGTTACTTTTGTTACAGATAGAAAGATGAAGAGAACAAGAAACTGTGAGAGTGGTTGGTGGGTGGTATTATTGACGGCTACTTTGGCAGTACCGGCATTAGCGGAGGCAGGAGTTGGACTGTTCAATGCAAGATTGAAACAAGTCACCACCTCCAGCACTCTAAAGTGGACCAGCTTTAAGAAGGAAGCTACTACGAACTATGTTATCGGTGCTGAATCACAACAAGGTAATTTAACTACACGTGTCTATACTAATATTATAAAGAGGCAAGATTAGATTGTTTGTTTGCATGGTATAGGCTCAGAAACAACTGGAGAGATTTTTTTTTTCATCTAAGTCGAGGGAAAATAGCTTGTTTTATATAAAAAAAAACTCATTATGTAACTTGGAGATATTAAATAAAACATTCTTTTGGTTACAGGACCTATATATCTGTGTAGAGCGCGACATGTAGGAGATATGCTTTTAGGACAGTTGAGACCTGAGTACACTTCTTGTGCTGTCTCTGGAAGCAAGAGTTATGACGCTTTTGAAGTGCTCGAAAACATCGAAAACGCTTCATTGATAACCTGGCAGCCTTGGTTCAAATTTAACTCGAAACCAACCGGAGCCGTTTTGGTGGATTCATCAGTTGATTCCGTTTTTATAGGAAGAGTCAAAGCTAATGGTGGCTTTTCCCACAATGTTGGCAGAATATCTTATGAAAGTGCTATAGGTCAACTTATGACGTTCGATGAGAAAAACAATGAATTAACTGAGACTAAAGGAGAAATATTAGTAGAAGTAGAACCTATAAGTTATAAATTGGAGAATGTAGAATTAGATGTAGCGACTGAACACGTTCGGCAGTCGGACCCAGAAATATTCGGAGAACGCGTTTTAAGAAATGATGACAGTGTTGCCGCCACTGTAACTACAGCTATAGAATATGAATTTAACTACAGTGTTTCCTGGGGTCATGGTCATGGAATAGCCATCGGTTTGAATACCACCATAGAAATGGCCGATGGAACAATTTTCCCACAAATTGAATGGGCTAATCCATTCTCGGAAAAAAGAACCAAATTATACAATCTTGAAATATATCTTGAACCAGGTACAGCTTGCAATGTTACATTTAGAGGAAACCGTACAGAGCGTGACGTTCAGTATACAGGAAAACTTACGACGTTCTACTATGACAACGATTCTCGCACCAGGCAAATGCGAGGAGAAAGAATTGAGGTAACATTGGAAGTGGAAGCTATCTATGGCGAAATATATTTCGTAGGGAACAATAGCCTTGTGCCAACTACAACAACCACGACGACAACTACAACGACCACTACTACAACCACACCAGTACCAACAATTCCAACGGAATCTGATAAAAACAACATTCCAATTGAAATAATAAAGCCCAACCATTCAAGTGAAATTGATAGCAACAATCTGGTCGATAGCAACGCTGAAAAGGAACAGCCCGTCAATGAGCAGAACATAAACCAAGCCATAGTGGGTCCTCTAGGAAGTAAACCATCTAATGGAGCAAAATTGAGAGTAATTTATTTCACTTTAGTGATACCTTTGCTTACGATTTTACTTTAAATGTTATATATTTAGAATTCCTTGTATATATTGAAATAAATATTGTATCTGAAATACCTGTCAAGAATTGGTATCTAGTTGCTTCGGCTCCATGGTTAGGCAACTACGCTTGATGCTATTGTTTGTTAACCGAAAAAAAATAATCGGTTTCTCGATTACAAGTTGTAAATAGATTATATTATTTTCTTAACATTCCTGATATGTGATTCCATTTCAATATGTAAGACGAAGAGCCAAAATTATCACATACCTGTAAATAGAATTGTAAATAGTTACTGATGTACAAGTCGCAGAGCGACGAGTAACATTGTAACCGCGACGAAGGGGTGTTTGTGACACCGTAGATAGAGTTAATTGAGAGTGAACTGTTACCAACTCATAAAAGCAATTAATAAATTTAAAAAAAATTGCCTACAAATCAGCAACTCCCAAATGTGATAGTTGGAATAGTTATAGTAAAATACGACCCTAAGTGTTTAAGAATTAAAATTATTACAACTGCCGTCGATTTGCCAAAATTTTCCAAACTATTCGATATCAGTGCATCTTTGATCCATTATCACATTATTTTTTCTAACAATTTTCTATTAAACTGGACAAATTTTATAATTTGTAGTATATTACAACGATATGTCTGCAACCTTATGAAATAAGTAGGTAATAAAGATAATGCACAGTGCGAAAGCAACATATTTCAGTATTTTAATTCAGGTTACAAGCGCATTAGAAGTGACAATTAGTTTTCAGTACCTCCTACTTTGTAGTATTTTGATTACTTTATAATTGTTATGTTTAGTTGTAAGATACAAGAGTTTAAAACCCAGAATTAAGAGATATTATTACTATTATTATTTTTTAATTATTTATTTTGTTTTATCTTTTATTTCTTTGTATATTATTATTAGACACATATTTTCAAGCAGTTATTGCACCATGGTTCGGAAGAATGGAAATATTTATTTAATTGCCAAAGTCGTAGCTTATTTGTTAAGACTACCAACTGTTATTAGTATAAATCACTAACAATTAAATATTAATTCCATCCCTCCGTTGATCTTACTATTAGTTCTGTAGTTTTAGGTATAGGACATCTCCAATATTAACTGTTGTTAGTATGCTTAGCGGTTTTTGTCAATGTGTAAAGAAAATTGATGATATTTTTGTATGGGTAGATATTGACTGTAAGCGTTCGCCTTAATATAAGAAGTAAACAATTATAATAATATTCTACAAATCTTCATTTGAAATTACATTGTCCATTAGATATCTCCAATAAATCTGAAGAGTAAATTATAAGGCTTTCTTCAGAATTTAAAACAAAAAGATGTTTTATAGAAAATTATTTTTAAAACAGTCATCCGCTGTGAAGTTTAATTGATTTATTGTGTCAATGTCCCACCTAGTTGTACCATTATCGTGTAAGTCTAAGTATTTTATAATGATCACATTAACTGCTTTAGTCAGTATAATATTTTATGACTTAAAAAGAAGTCGTAAATTGATGTTAGTATTAATACTTTTGGAATCTCGAGGCCTCTATGTTCAACGTCTAATACTTTAGGATGTATTTACATTTTTGACATTTCAACGAAAACGACCAGATACCGTAACAATGATATGATTGTACCGACCGTCAATATCATTGTGTCTGGTTTCGTTGAAATGTTACAACTGTGGACCCAGCCTTAGATTATTGCTTACCCATTGTTAAGTATAGTAAATTTGTTCCATAGTATAATAAGGTATGTTCCACTATTGTTGTACGGACTGGCGTCCGACGTCGAGCGATCGAATCTCTTCTTAACATCAACATTGTTTTGCGAAGCATAATTGTGATGTTGAATGTAAGTTTTATTTGTTTAAACTCATTAAAGTGTAATTAAATACACGGTTTGTTTTCATTACATTATCCAAATATCAATAGTTCTATTTTCAAGCATCCCCAAATAAATTAATAAACGAAGTCTGCAAATAAAACAAGGTCCTTGGCGGCAATATGCCCGATTCGACAAGTTTTTCCAACCGGGGTAAAACTCAATATTGCCCTCCCCTTTCATAAATTTTTAACTTTGTTATGATTTTGGCGGATGGCAGTAGCCATTCCGCCACTGATAAGGGGCTTGAATACCATGAATTTTCAGGCAAAAAAACTAGAAAGCCTCTCTATGACTTTGTCTCTCCAAAATTTCGTCTAATTTAGAAACAATAATACGAGCCACAATAAAACGAGAAACGAATTTTCGATCAACGGATGCAACGGAGATATGACTTGAATCTGTCTCTGATACATAGATAATCTGCAATCTTCATGATTAAGATTTGAACAACATTAAATAACGTTTTGAATTTTCCGATATTTCATTTAAGGACATACAGAGTATTGCTTAGTGACATATCTATCTTCCAATCGCCTATTGTTTCATCGTCATCATGTAGTATGATCGTAACAAGTGACATAGCACTTGAAAATATTAATTCGAACTGTATACAAACAGAATTCGGGAAAACTCGAACAAATAAAAATTTATACTATTTATTTAAACTTATTTATCAACAATTCTGCAACCAACTGATATACGTCATAACAACATAAATTGCTATTAATTATCATTTAACATATTCTCATCTATCAACTATTATGGTTTTATGAGATACGTATGTTCTTGGGCGTATGCTAATGTACCTTTTTACATCGATGCCGTCATAAAGGTACAACTAACAACCTTTACTCATAGATGACACAAAATCATATTAGTAGGTTCTTATACTTTGCCGATAATGATGGCACGTAATAATAATCTAAACACGTGTCTTTCAACAGCGAAAAAAAGTTATTTAAAAATAAGTGGAGGTGGTTTTAGATGCCAAATGAGGCTATCAGTCATCGACTGTCTGAGAAGCCGCCGGTTCAACACTCTCATTATATTAATTATGGTACATACCTAATCAAAAAATAAGTACACCAAATTATCTATTTTCGTAAGGTTAACACTGTCGAATTAAACTACGCCTGATTTGGTAATAGACATTGTAATGATAATACGATAAAATGACAGAACGACAAATGGATAAAATACTTTTTGGAATCACATAGTTATTTCAATAAATTGTAATATACATGAGAATAATATATGTAAACGTACGTGAACCTCTTTAGTTACATACCACAGAACACAGAAAGTACATACGTATTGATCTAACTGAACAGTCACGGAGATCATCACCGACCTTGGCTTACAACCTCCATGGTGACAACATTGAAATAGATTTACAATAGATTTACCTATTTACCTGTAAATTGGTGCCGTTCAAAATCAAAAACAAGGTAATTCAATAAACTTAATTTAGTTTAATTTGGAATAATATAACAAAAAGCAAAGATCCAATTGACTGTTTGCATTGAATACACTTTGAAACTACTGGATTTATTTGAAAAAGAATCACCTACGGGAACAAAAAAACATCACACGATGGTGACGTAGTCTGTAATTTAATCGGGCAAAGTTGCAGAGAAACATGGTGTTTAGAATAATATTAATTAATATTAAATATAAAGGAATGAATTATTTATCTGAACGATTTCTATCTATACAAAGTACAAAACGAAATCGCTTCTCGCCGTCTGTACGCTGGGATCTTTTAAACGGATTTTAATGCATTTTTAACCAATATACAGAGTGATTTCTGAGAAAGGTGAGGGCGAAGCCGTTGGCGAAAAGCTAGTTATTAATATGTAACAACTCTAACAGTACTTCTAATACCGTGATCAAAAAGGGACAACCATACAATGTATTAAAGTTCATAGCATCCCTGGCATTTCAGCACAGAGAAACATTGCTTTTTACGACAGCCGGAAAAGCATCAAGTAGTGGCATTCTCGCCTTGGTATTCCAGATGAACTAAATAAGGAAAAGCTTCAGGTAACATAATACAAAGACCATCATAATACTAAGACCCTGGCCTATACAAATAAATGTCATGACTACTGAGGTAGCACAATTTAGGAAGCATATACTTTTTATTGCAATGTTAATGCTGCCATCTTCATAAATAAATTAATTGACTGAAATACTCTTAACGTATCGTAAAATTGAGCGATAAAGGAAAACATAAAGAAAAAGAGAAATTAGTCACTTGGTTGGTGATTAGCCTAAGAAATTATGTATTCTGACACAAACAGTATACCTCGTGTGTTCATAACTTTTGAGACAAACTTTTTACTGAAAAAAAATGTTACTGGCTGTTATTTTTTTTTGCGATTTTGTATTTCGAATGTTAACTTTTAGTTTATTAGTATCGCAAATTTATTTGTTTATTTATTTCTCGTGATGGAGAGAACGAAACAATTACATGAAAATGTCATTTCGCTGTTTAAGGCGGGAATAAATCGATGCAGATTTTCCGCGAGCTGAAAAGTTTTCCTGTAAGCCGTTACTTCGTCTATTACACAATACAGCGGTAGAGTTCTCTGCAAGATCGCTAAAGGAGTGATCGGCCAAGCTCTGTGAGGACGCCTGCGAACATCAAAATAATCCAAGAACGACTTCAGAAGAAACTCGCTCTGCAGACTAATATTTCGCGCGTTTCAGTGAACTGAATACTGAAATATGATCTTAAGGTAAAGGCCTATAGCCGTTGAAAAGTTTACTTTTTACGCGAACGTTGTCCATTGCTGCTGAGGAGATATCATGCCAGGAAGATACTCTTCACTGACGAGAAATTTTTTACAGTCAAAGAAAAGTTCAACCGACAAAACAATAAAGTGTACGCTTAAAGTAGCAAGGATGTCATTTGGTGAGTGTGGTGATGTGATAAGATTTGTATCCTATATGTTATCTACTACAGTATATGTGTGCAAAGCTCAAAAAAAGGGAAAAGAAATATCAAACACTCAAATAATTGAATTACCCTAGATTTGATGAATACTTGAGCTATTCATTTGGATGATTGTAATAATTTTTTGGCAAGATATGAATATAGAGAACATATTTACGATATGTATTCATACTAATATGTTTTTAAGAATACTACAGAAAAAAATACATTAAAGATCGCAAAAATAAATATGAATCAACTACATCTTGCTTTCGTTCGTATGAAGCACGTATTTTTTTCAAATTTGGAGTTCCTTTTTCACGAAATATGGCGTGTTTTCCTCAAGTTTTATTTATAGCTGCCTCCAAGTCAACAGCTGGCACATTCTCTTGCCTTCCGCTAGCTTGCCGATTGCAAAATCATTTGCTATAATGATGCATATCGTAAAATACTTCTAAGAATGAATCAAATTTAATTTTCTCGGCATACATATGTTTAAATTATCATAGTTTAGGAGAAAAAATATTTCTTTTCCATAACTTTCCAATTATGCTGCTAAGAGATCGTTTATTAAGAATGTTTTTTCCAAAAGATTGTGTAGGATTAAGTTATTTCTTTTCCAATCTCTCACCTAGTAAACTTGTTCAATTAAATTTTAAATTTATCCAACCAAACTTAAAACGATAAATAAATTATTTAAAAAGCACATTCTGAACCACTATTTACCATAGATAATGCGACCCATGACGATGAAAATAGTAACATATAAACATGCCCATAATAACATGTTTTACATGATTAATTCTATGGCATCATTATTATTTAATAGTTACTAGTAGGTGTAGGTGTTATATGAATCGTTTAACAATCAGTTGATAGCTTCCTGAATAATAAGCGTTTTGTATCAACGTAAATACTTAATTAAGTAAGTAAATAAATAAAATTCTACAAAAAAGAAACTCAACATTTTGACGACATATTTTCCATAAGTAAACCTATCAAAAATATACATACCTATGTGACTTAAAAGTCACATAGTAAACAATAACTTACTATTGATGGTAAATATTGTAGACATTATAATATATAGTTTTGAGAGGCCAACGTCGACTTAATATTTTGCGACTTAATCATTACCGAACAATCATCGGTATATCCTAAAATCGCAAATTATACATTTTTAAAACGTTAAATTCACTAAATTTTACTGGTGTTTTCTTTGTGTACTTCTAATTCTGCATAGTGCAAGCTATGAGCACAAGTGCATCCCATCTTCCATTTGAACGCGCACACCATAAGAACAATAACGAGTGGGTGGAGAAAGAAAGCGTTCCATAAATAAACGCGCTCTCTCGCCTTTGTGGGGAGTCGCAGGTTTCTGTTGCTACGTTCAAAGGTTCCCAGAGATGCTTTAATTATTCCTAACATGTGAGAGGGAGCCTGCGGCAATACCCCAAGGCACTGCAATACACGCGGTACTGTCTGCGTAAACAGTACCAACGCAGCCGTTCGCATAAACTTGCCAAAAAAATTTACGTACTTATTTAAAAATATTGGAAATTTACTACATTTTATTAAGACTTATTAATATTATAAAAAAAGTATAGAATCTAAAAAAAGAATTGGGCTCGTCCGGGATTTGAACCCGGGACCTCTCGCACCCTAAGCGAAAATCATACCCCTAGACCAACGAGCCACATTTGTTTCTATCCAAATTATGATATTTCTACTAGAAAGTACGTTCGATACATTCGCTTTCTATATTATAAAAAAATTAAGTCGTTTCCCGCGACATAGAGCAATTTGCACAAACGTCCATTAAAATTTTCATTACTTTAAAGCTACATTACCCATACAAATTTACATCACCCATAAATATTTTAATGGATGTTTGTGCAACTGATGGTTAGCTCGATTAAATTATACCTTGTCACTCACATATGACGTAGCTTCCCGTAGGTGGAAGAACTTTTATAATCGGTCCATCTGTCTCAAAACCTCTTCGATGCAAACAAAGAAACATACAAATAAACAAGCAAATCTTTCCACTGTATTTTAATATAAATAATAATATATAGAAATAAATAAATAAATGTTTTTAGTTAGATTTAATAGTTAATAGATATTATGTAATTTACTATAAGTAGGTAAGTACTATTTTTTCCTTAGTTGAAAAGAATACTCAAACAATTTACTGTAAGTACTATAACGAAATTCAAGTATACTATCAATTTGTTACGTATAAACCGCTTCTTTATCCTGGAGTCAGGACATATTGGAACTTGAGACTACACAATATCATCTGGGATCGATGATATATATCTTCCTGGCGTCATTAATCAACCCCTTTCCTACCCATGTCATATCATTTTTCAAAATATTCTATCCATCTTTTCTTCAGCATTCCTCTTTTAATCCACATTAGTGCCCATAAGCCTATTTGTTACACATTATATTTATTGTGATGATTTGAATGCTTCAGTCCTCGCATAGAGCGTCGGTTACGCACACGTTGAAATTTAAATTAGTTGCGCTATTATGTATTCTGTTCAAGCATATTACAAAATCGTATTTGCGCATTATACTAGACAAGTATATATAATCAAAGTTATACCAATTAATTTGTATGAATAGCAACAACCCTCTGGGGCAAATTATAAACCTTCCATTAACGTACGTACTAGAGATTGTTTCAAATATAAGCGAATTTTTTTTACGTTTCAGCATACGTTCTACAGTCGTACCCGAAAATAACTTGTCTATACATTAAATAAGATTTAGGAGCCCGATGGCACTGGGCCCAAGTTCTGTGTGTGCCCTCTGTAATTTCATTGAAATTGTGTAATATTCATATTGCTCTGTGTAGCCTTCTAAACGTGTGCAAAATAAAAAAAGGAGACCGTCAGTTTACTTGTATATGGAAAAAGAAACGAAGTGTTACCAGTATAGAAGGTTCAGTTAGCTTAGAACTGCTACCACCACAGAAAATGTTTATCCGGTAAATATGAATAAGTTTAAATACAGACGAAGGTGTCCATTATAAGTAAGAAGTAAGTAGTATGGATCGGTGATTATTTCTATTATAAAAAAAAAAGAAACAAAAACCAATTTAAAAAATAATTAAACCGACTTCAAGATATCGTTATAAAGAGAAACGACTGTAAAGAGAGAAATAACACCAAAAATTTTTATCTTCGACAAAATCGAAACACAAAAGGTGGATAGGTACACGAACATTTTTCTTGAAGTCGATGCCAGATATTTATAAGAAAAATGTCATGTACGGTAAGAGAAAAATAGATTTTCTAATAGTACTGTTTTAATTATTACTGATAACCAGGCTGGCACCGCCCTTAAAAAAATTGTTGGTGTATCCACATTTTGTGTTTCTATTTCATTGAAGATAATGTGATATTATTTCTCTATTTTCAGTCGTTTCTCTTTATTACGATTTTATGAAGACGGTCTAATTATTTTTAAATTGTTTTTTAATATTTTGCTATCCTATGCCTAGTTTTTCAAGTATATTAGAGATAGTTTTAACAAAAGTGAAATATTTAGAAAATTAACTTCTTGATTTGTAACTATAAAGACAACGGTCATAGGCCAGTATCCTAGCGTCCTGGGTTTAGATGTTTGTTCCAAAGTAACATTTCGCCCCCGAACCCCGATCCCATTGGTATGAAGTTTGGTGGGTCAATGGGTCGGTACGTGCAACGCACGCTAAGAACGGGAGCGTATCCGTGGGGATTCCAGTCGTGCCTCCGTTACTTGCCTATTGTTCTAATCGCAGAAGCGTAATATCAAAACTCTTTGGTGTACGCAATAGCAACCGTCATAACGTGTCTTCAATTATGAAATAAGTAGGTATATCATTGAGAATTACAGTTAAATTTGACTTGAAAAAGAGTCGGTATATCATATTGTAATCAAACTATTAGTTATAAAAATGATAAAAAGAAGGGCTCGTCCGGGATTTGAACCCGGGACCTCTCGCACCCAAAGCGAGAATCATACCCCTAGACCAACGAGCCGTTATAAACATCGGCGAATATTGCGATCGCGAAGGCGGCGTGAAAGTGTATCACATAAAAAAACTATTAAAACCTATACAAATACCACGCATCACAAGTGGGAAGAGTGTTGGATGAACGACAGTACGTGCAGTAAATAATAAAATAAAAATAATGTATGTCTCCTATAAAACTCTTATATGATTGAATTATAAAAGTGTTCAGGATTAACAGGATTCAGTTACAATAATAATTACCTTTTCTAAGTACATTTATGTACTAAAATGAGTTCTTCGTAATAAATGTTATGAATAATAAACAAATAGTGCCATCTTTTAGAAGTAATAAATACTAGATCTTAACATGTCTTTTATCATAACATCTTGGTATTGCCGCTCGACAAGAGATGGCGCTGTAAAAATATTGTTAAAACCCTCCTTTAAAAAAATAAAGCAATTGAAAAAACAATAATTTATCTTTTAAAGCAACACTTACGCTCATTGAAATACCTACTTCCTAAAAAAATATTTCAGTATTTAAAAAAATTTACTTGTCATCAACAGATGGCGTTCTTAAATCGTGAACCTTATTTTAATGAATGAAAAACTTACCCATTACACCTAATTGTTGAGGTGAGAGTGGTGCTGCATCACCACCTCCAGATCCAATTGAACCAGATGCCAATGACAATCTCTCACTAAACCCCAAGGGGCTGCTTCGACCACCACTACTAGCCACCGAACCCATGCCTATGGATGAAAAACTATTATTTACACTATTAATTCTGTAAATATCTAATATCTTTGAGTTAGATGTTACATTTAAAAAATCATGGTCAATATTGTCTTATTTCAGTTAATATTATTTATTTGTACACAAAATAACATGGTGAAAAAAAAAACTAGCTATTATTTACAACTCTTCTTTTTATAGTTTAAAATATGTCTATGTTGTATAAAAAACATTACCTCCATTAGGGCTTCTCATGCGGGATAATCTTTTATTTATAGCTCGTTGAATTCTGGGGTTCAGGATTGGTTTTGCTCTTCGCCTAGCTAAATATCTGGATAATACACCAACCACTATGGCACTTGTTCCAACAACACCTATGCTCCATAACACAACCTGAAAATAAAATATTAAAAAGATTGATAATCACAGGTTCTTTAAGATAAAATAAGCTTTTTACATATCAGTGACTAGTTCTTATTTAGGTAAAATATGTTCAACAATTATATTTAATCAATTTTGCATTCACAATGCTATACTGAAAAATGTTATTATCGAACTTTGTCTCTGGTACTCTTAGATAGGCTTCATCCCATCCCATCCCATCTTTTATTTTTTAAGCATTTTTCATTAATAATATGTTCAACAACTTGGTGTCAGAACAAATAAATAATATATTATAATTTTACTAAAATATAAAGACCATGTTCGGTATCACAGTATAAGGGCTAAGTTTCTAAAATTAGTAATATAAAATTAACATGTTAGCTTACTTTACTTTCAGTTACCTTTTGAGATGTAGTGAGTTGTACATCATTGAAACTAAATGCTTGACGCCAATACTTTATTTTATTTATTAAGGGGGATGCCTGAATTAACAACTGCATTATACAAATAGAATTATATAATATTAAAATTAGATTTCCTATTTACACTTGTTTTTGACTTTACTTAGGTTATGATATATGTCAAAACAGAATGGAAAGAATAATAGTAGACTATTAACAAGTAAATATGAAGGGCAATTTAGTTTTATGTACATAAAGAAGTTTAAGCCATTTCTTTTAATGGCTCATATATAAACGAGTACAGTAATGTAAAAATGACAACATGAAAGTTGAAAAAGCTTAAAATTCCCGGTTTGATCGAGGAAACCAAAAAATTGATTAATTGTTTTTTTTTATATCTTCAGTTATTCATTTTAAGCAAAGGGATATAGAGTTCACTTAACAGTTGCATTAGGACTAGGAGTACCACACTATTATATATTACAAACTGGAAGTAGGCAATGATAATAAGCTTCATATGTAACCAGGAAGCAGGACTCATAGTTCAGAAAGGTCCTGAAATGGAGACGATGGGGCCGAAAAAGACCCGTTGGTACAGCACAAATGCAGTGGAAGGACAATGTGATGACGTTGAAAGAGGCCATTTTTTCACATTTCCACGATTCAGAATTGCATTCAAAATTATCCTGAATTAAAGTACAATTTTATAGAGCGTACAATATACTGTGCACAGTGTAACCCCAATATTGGTTACAACAAGAGACGCATTAAAGGTCAAGGTTCATCAAGGCGGAACATTTAAGAAGACTACAAAAGATTTTATTCTTGACCTTGTTAATTTCCTTATATTAAATATCCATGGAGTAAATATTTTTTTTATGGGATAGGGGGCAGACGATCAGACGGATCACCTGATGGTAAGTGATTACCGTCGCCCATGGACACCTGCAACACCAGAGGAGCTACAAGCACGCTGCCGGCCTTTGAGGGACGAATATGCTCTACGCTTGAATATGTAAAGGTCGTATCGGTCCGGAAATACCGCTGGCGACAAACTGTTCCAGAATTTGACTGTGCGAGGCGGAAACTTCTAGAAAAACGCACAGTTGAGGACTTCTAACCATCCAAATGATGGGCGTGGATTTCTTGTCGCGTGGAACGATGGCGGAAGGTAGCGGCAGGTATGAGTCCGAACAATTCCTCGGAGCACTCCCATAATAGATGCGATAGAAGATGCACAGTGAAGCGACATCTCTACGCAGGGCTAGTGGATCAAGCCGACATGAAGTGTCCCGGTATTCGGCGATTCGAGTCGCTCTTCGCTGAATGCGGTCTAGAGGGAGAAGCTGGTATTGGGGTCTCCCTGCCCAAAGATGAGAACAGTACTCCATATAGGGCAGAACTTGTGCCTTATAAAGCTGCAGGCGATGTGCTGGAGTTGCCTCGCACATCGCCTGCATCGATCTATTAAGCACACCAAGCTGCTTAGATGCTAATTCAGCCTTATCCACTAAGTGACCACGGAACTGGACCTCGCCCGATATGTCAATACCAAGAATTTCAATATTGGCTGAGGCAGTTAGGGGAATGTTTTGAAAGCGAGGTGATACGACAAATGGGGTTTTTTTGGCGTAGAATCTATCCTCACTTGTTTAAGGGTTACTAAGTCGGTTGAAATTGATACCACCAGTAATGTGTAAAATGAATAGTGCAATTACCCTATCAATCCCTAGGAAATAGAAATAAGGAAAGTAGTGGAAAATAATAACTATAATCCCATAGAAGCAATAGAATACATGAATTATGTAGATTACCGGTAACTTATACATTGCTTAGATCAAAGATAAACTTTGAGATTCTTTCGACTTCATTTGGAATTAGGATTCGAAATAGTTGTAATCTTAGAATAATAACTAATGCTTTAGTTATTATTATGAATTTTGATATATCGATGTATCGTTGACATAAATCGGTTTTTGTTAAATCAACCAGCATATAGCTCATTGCGCCACATTAATACCCTACTGATTGTCATGTCGGGGGGGGACAGTTCTATGAAACTGTCAAACTGCATACATTGCTCTGCCATCTACTATACGTCCCCGAAGTTACTTACTAAATTTAATTTCTAAAGTAGTCAGAAGAGGGCGACACTAGAAAACTTTATTTAAAAGTTGCCAGTTGGTTGTAATTTTATATAACAAATTATAATTTGTTTCAAAATGCAGAAATTAAGTAATAAATAAAAATGATTTATTTAAGAAAAATTAACGATAGTCATTTATGAAAAAAAAAACATAATAACCTGGCAATGATTACTATAGTATGTCATATTTACAGTTCTCTATGGTCATTTATTTCCAACCGTTTGATTCAAGTTTGATTTTTTCAAAGATTGCTTTTGCTGTGATATCTTGGCAATTTCTTCTTTTCTATTTGTTTTATGTTGTGTGTTGCGTTGAGCCTGTGTACTCCGCATCTTAATCGCGATATCGGACGCTACTTTATTGTTTGTGTTAAGTGTATAGAACAGTATAGAACTCCGCAGTACTATTGCGATGTTCGACGCTATTTTTGTGTTTGTGCTGTTTTGCGTTGAGCAAGGAGTAGTATAATATATAGGGAAAGCGTTGAGTGTCCTTAACTCCGCAATTTTGCGATATTGGACGCTATTTTTGTGTTGTTGATCCTGGTACTTCGGTTCATCTGTGCGATATTGGACGCTTTGAAAGTTTTATGATATAGTGAAGTACAATATTATCAACATGCCTCGCCTTTGTGCCTTTGGATGTAGACAACTTTCCGGTAAGTAAATTTTAACAACAGTTCGTATCATACTTCACACTTTGTTGAATGTATGGACCACAAAATAAAAAACTAAGAAAAATACTCTTGTGTTTTCACAGAACTTTCAACTCTATATAGTGATTACTCTTTATCTCTCTATTTAGTCCGTCAGTCAGATAATAGAAAAATATTAGATAAATTTCTTTTTGTTTCAATTTAACAAGAAATCACATATACAAATCCATTTAAGTTTATTATTTTTAATCTACATGACGACAAAACAAACAAAAATTAGTCATCATCCCCATTGTGATTTATAATAATTAGAAATTATTGGTTGCTGTAGTGTCCTATTAAATAATTTAAGTTAAAAAAAATTTCAGGTGTTACTGTACATCACTTTCCAAATCCAGAAAAATATCCTGACCGTTTTAAAAAATGGGTCAACCTTTGTGGTGGGAAACTGGAATCTGAATCTGATTATGAATTGTATAAAAAGAAAATTGTTTGTGATAAGCATTTCATAGACAAGGATCGTAATCGTTTTAAACGACTTAATGCTTTAGCTGTGCCTTCATTATTTTTAACAGGTAAGACCTAATTTATTACCATAATAAATTTAATCATATATAATATATATAACAAACATTATTGTTCCTGAGATATAAACACTTGCAGGTGGAATTTAGGCTAAAACAATTACTACTGCTACTAATGAAAAGTTTTATAGTACAATAGAGATATTGTTTATATAATGTTGTTATTTTATAGGTATGCTTGAAAGCTCTAACAATGATACCGAAGCTGGCCATAATCCTGAACAGGCTTCACTACTGCAACTGCCTCAGACAGGTCTGTAAGAATTATTCCATATTATATCAAAATTAACTTTAGTGATCTATATTGATTATTAATATAAAAAGCTAAACAGTTTTTTGAAACTCTAGATCTACCACTTATATTTTACATATATTGATTAACATACATTCATAAGGAAGGATATAGTCTGCCAGTATCTTATTTCAAAAATTCCTATAAGATGATAATTAACACAACATGTATTTTTATGTCAAACTCTTATCAAACCAAATTTATTAATTTATTATTCATTGCTCAAATTACATAGACAAGGGTTGCAATCTATTTAAATGATTGTATGCTTTAGCTGTGCCTTTACTTTTTCTTACATGTGAGATCCAATTCAGACTTATCACCAGATAATGAATTAAATGGAATGTAATAACTTATCATATGTTAGCAGCAGACGGACGTTATATTAAAACAAATAATACAGCCAACAAACAACTTTTATGTAATGGTATTATTTTACAGGTATAACTGCAAGCTCTAGTAATGTTATTGCCGAAGCTTCGCTACTTCAACTGCCTCGGACAGGTCTGTATAATTATGATACAACTATAAGTATACTTAAATATGATCATTAAATTGCTTTTTATTAATCTGGGGGTACATTTATTTTGTTTATGTATATGTATTCAAGTCTGTTAAAACCTTCACTTGATTTTAAGCCTAATACATCGAGAGATGAATTAAAAACTCATTAAAGAAATTTGACATATTGTGGTAACCTGGCGTGCATGTCATGTCAGTCATGTGTATATCAATCCACTTTAACACAATTTGTGGAATCGAATTGATATACGGGACAGATTCGATCCCGGCGGGAGATTTGAATTTATGCCTGAAATATGGGAACTGGCAACACTAGTTATTATATATTTATGATCCAATCAAAAGCAACTAACAAAAGTAAATTGCTTAATACATATTGATAATGTATTCTTTATTATTTTTAGTAAAAGGACCTACACTGCAGCAAGTATGGTGTGAACACAATTATAGTGCTGCTAGCAATTATAGACGTCATTCTATAAATCGTAAGTTATCCAGTTCTTTGTAGTAGTTACTATATTTTATAAAATTCACTACATAGTATTTACAAATGTTTTCACACACGTTTTCAATTAGATTCCCAAATGCTAAGATAATATGTGATACCTATGTCTTTCTTTAAATAATGACTATCTAATAATATTATATAGAGATAAATAATGTTTGTGAATGATCAATTGAATTGGTAGGAATGAAGTAATCTTCGATATTACTCAACTGATATTAAAAATGCTATGTTGTCACTTAGTGTTAATACATATAGTTACTGCCAGTTTCTGAATTGAAAAGTACAAAAACTCAATAACTTAAGTTTTTTATGGTTCATGTGGAAAAAGGATATGGAAAAAGGATATAAGGCACAAACGTCCATTAGGTTTAATTATGCCTTTAAGCTCTAATGAATGTCAAATTTGTATTGTTAATGTCGCTTGAAACTAATGACAATTTCAATGGACGTTTGTGCAGCTGGATGTTAGTTTTATCAAGCTGCTATGAAATGATCATTAAAAAAAAAATAGAAATGAAAACCTGTTTCAGTAACGTTTAAAATGGTTTAAGTATGGTTTGAGATTTGCTTAACTTTAAATTCTCAATTCTGAAACCGGATGTTAGCTAACTATATTTGACTCCCGAAATTCTCAAGGGAAGTGGTAACTCATATGGATGAAGTTGG